GCGAGATTTTTTGATTGCTATATCGGAGGTGAGAACTGTTTAAATCTTACGATAGTCTTGTGTTCATTATATTGCACATTTAGCCAGTATGCCGTCCAGAGCACATCCATGAGTACCAGCTTACAGCGTACTCCCTATACGCTGCAGTATCAGTAGGGCTGCAAACTAACGATATTATAGAGTATTTGGAGAGGCTTAGTAAGAGCGCACTTCCTCGAGGAATTATTGAGTTCATCAAGGTGAGCTGCGAGATATCTAAACTTGGCTCCCAATTTTACAAATTTTTTCTGAGTAGTCTAGACAGTGTTGTTTTTTCCCATCATTGTAGTTCAGTTCTAAAGTATAGCAAGTGTATAAGTTTTTTGGCAGATTTGTAGTTTGTTTTTATAGATGTGCACGTTGAGCTACGGCAAAGTGAAACTTGTCCTAAAGCATAACCGATATTTTGTTGAATCGCGTCACTCTGATGTCATACAAAAGCTCCTCAAGGATAAAGTCATCCAATCTTGTATTTTGGAAGAAGAAAAACCAATCGAGCAGACACAGGCATGTTTTTTCTTAGCTTGCTTACTGTTTTCCTTTGATTACGTACATCTCACTTCCGCTTGACTGGGTTACTTACAGACTCAAATAGAAAAGATCAACTTTCCTCAAGAGCAAACAAAAGAGGAGGAACAGAAGCCGGATGCTGAAAACGTATTTTTTTTCGGTTTTTTTTTTGCTTTTTTTTTTCTGAACACAACTCAAAATTTGTAAACTTAATTCTCGTAGTCAACCTTTTGTTAAGGTTCCTGAAGACATTGGGGAGTTATATGGAAAAATGGATGGAGATGACGAAGAAGATGCAGAAATTCGGAGCCTGCAACTTCTTACTTTCGAAATCAAGCAGGTGCGTGGAGTTTTTCAATAGGCTTAAACGTTTTCGAGTTCAACTAGTCATTTGCCTTTTCTCACATGATTTACCTTTCAGGAGAGTATCGAGACTGTGCAGAAACGATGTATTGAATTGGAATATCCACTTCTAGCAGAGT